CCCTTCCCTCTCACCCAGCTCACTTGTTTCCCTTTGTAATTGAGAAAGGTCTTTCTCCCTTAGCATGATCTCATTTCATTGTTTCCACTGCTGTCATCTTGGCTTAAATCACTACTGTCTTTCAGCTCTAAGATTATTGCCATAGTTTTCTAACAGATCCTTCTGTTTCTGACCTTGTTTATAACCTCTCTTTCCCAGTCAATCATTTATTTCAACATAGCAATCAGAGATTCAGATTATGGTACTCTTCTGTGTCAAACCCTAATAGCTTCCTACCTGACTCACAGCAAAAGCCAGTGTCATTACAGTGGCCTTGGCAATCTCTGCTCCTTAGATTAAATGTCTGACATCATCTCCAATTCTTTTCTTTTGGTCACTGCATTCATACTGACCTTTCTACTGTTTCCAAGTATCAAACAAACTCCTTCCTCCAGGTCTTCACCTTGAAAGTTCTTCCCCTTCCCCTTCCCTTTCTCTCCTCCCTTCCCTGCTTCTCTTCTCTTTTCTGATACAGGATCTTGCTATGATGTTTGAACTCACAGCGATCCTCCTGTTTCAGCATCCCCAGCATTGGGGATTATAGGCATGTGCTACTATGCCTAATTTCAGGGCTGGACCTGCATGTGATACTGGGAATCAAATGTGAGACCTTGTGCTTGCCTTATAGGTGCTTACACTGTGGAGCTATCTCCCCAGGCTGAGAGTCCCTTTTCTAGTCTGTTCTTTCCTTAGATATCCTCATGCCTTATGCTTACTCTTCCTTTATGTTTTTCCTCAAAAGTTAACATCTCATTCCTAATTCCCATGAACATTCTAAAATGTCAGATTACTTCCATTATACCCTGACATGTTCTATTCTTCTCCTCATGCCTAGTTTTTCATCATAACATGTACCATACATTTTGAATTTTTAAATTTATTATTTATTAGCTTGTATCTCATCCCACAGCAATGCAAGCACCATGAAGACTGAATCTGGAGGGCACACACTCCCAATATGTACTTCACCTGTTGGCTGAAGAAAGAAATAAAAGACAGATCAAAGCTTCTTGTGTTTTAGAACTTGTCTCCTTACTATTTCCTGAACCTTAGGCTTTATTTCCCAATCTTTTTCATATTTAAGAAAGCCTCACAGTTTCACATTCCTTATCAGTGACCATGGGGATCTTCACAAAAATTAAGTAGTTGCACTAGAATAGAGATCTTAGTTTGAGTCTTTCGTAATTATTACTTGGCGTTTTGGCTCTTGAGATTTTAGTTTTCTAAGATAGTGTAGGATAGAGACTAATTATAGTATGAGTGCTAAATTCAAAGGAGTATGCTTACATGACTGGGCACCTTTTTGACTGTTTACAAACCCAGCAGGCTTAATTTTGCTCCCATTGAGAAAAGAATAAGTTGACTCATTTGGCTTTATACTGGCTGTAAAGAAATGGAATGATAAAATGTCTTGTTTGACATAGAACTCTTAGACTATAGATTACTTTTTGGAATGTTTTTGTATTGAAATTTAATAAAACTTTAACACAGAAAAAAAAAGAACAACAAATAACACCCTAGAAGCTCAGAATGAGCTGAGAATAGTGACACATACCTGTAATTTCAGCTACCTGAGAGGCTGAGGCAGACACATTTGAAGTTTGAGGTCCGCCTGGATAACTTAGTGAGACCTTGATTCTAAATGAATGGATGAATGAATGGCTAAGGATTTAACTCCTGCTTGTGGGAGCTAAATTAATCCCTACTACTACAAAAAGGAAGAAAAAAGAAAAGGAGAAAAAGGAACAAATGAATGAAAGAGCAAGAGAAAGAAAAAATCCAAAAAGGGGTGGGGAATCAAGGAACAATGAAAGCTTGAAGGAGGGAAGTAGGAAGCAGAATGACAGGATACAGGACAGTAACAGGCCACTGTGATGGGAGATATGAAGAAAGAAAAGAAAATGAGAGAGAAAACTAACTCTGGGATACTCTTTCAATAGTGACTTCATTTCATCTACAACTATTACCAAATGCAGCTTGAGGACTTCAGTACCCATTAAGACATTTCTAGTTATATGGAAATGTGCATGGTAGTTTAAATTAAGATGACCTGTGAAGGAAAAAGCAAAACCAAAACAAAACAAAAAACCCCTGCACATCTAGCTAGCCTATAGAAATTTTTCTTGGACAAAGTATGTGTTTGGGTTTAAAAATGAACAATAGGGTCAAAAAGGTCAGAACCATAGCAAGGCTTAAGTAATCATTATTGCAGAGAGTGGGGCTCTCAGTTACTCTGTCACTGTTATGGGATAGCTTATCTTTTGCCAACCCAAGATTTACCCTCCCACTAGAGGTTAGAGTACAGGTGTGCATGAAAGAGATCAACAGTAGTATCAAAAGCAGAAGAATCAACATAAATGGAATTACTCCAGATCCCACATTTTTTTAAGTACAGAAAGGTGTTGTACTTTGTACTGACCAGGAAGGCTATGAAAGAAAAAAAAAAAAAAAACAAAAAAAAACTACAAGTAATGTGTAACTTCTTATTAAATAAGTTTTCTGACACATGGCAACCATTGATTAATTACTGTGTTAGAAGATAACATTCCTATAGAGATTTGCAGAAATACAGATGCTGTCCACGCCTGATTAGATATTGCTTAAGGAATGCTGAGGCACAGCGCAGCAGTCTATTATTTCTGGCTATTTTGGTATTGCTGTTATATTTATTTTACATAGCTTCAAATTCTGTACAATTGATGGGGCTCATTTCACAAAACCTGTCTCTAACAAAAACAAGGAAGGAAAAAAATAAGGCTATAAAGTGTGTCTGTATGAAAGCAACAGAAAATGAGAAAGGGACTATGAATAGTAGGACCACATGTCTACTTTTTGCAGTGGAGATGCTGGTTTTTTTTTTTTTTTATAACCCTACAAGAAAACTGACCATGTCAGCTGATTATGACCTTCAGGGTATTAAAGATAAACTCACCTGTCAGTATCCAAACCCTTCAAAAATACAGTGTTCATTCAATACACGTAATGACCATTTTCTGATTCAGGAGCTGGAAAAACAGTTCCAACTTCTTGAAGCTTGTCATCTAGCTGGAGCATATCATTTAGTAAGAAAGTGTTTTCTGAACCAGGATTGGAAAAGCATAATCTTTCAATGCTATACGTGTTTCTTCACCTATTTTCTTTTATAATTCATTAAGAAGAGCAATAGTGTAAGTACCTATCCTAAGTGGTCACATAATTCACAAATCCAACAATTGAAAACATGACCTGGTTGCCATTCAATCTTGTTTTGAAGAAATGGTTCACTGGAACATAGCCCACTAATGCCAATTTCAATAACACCCAGTCAGCATTTCATGATTCAGATGCTGCTTTTCCAGTATGTGTTTGAGCCCTGTACTGTCTGCCAAGAAGTGTGTTAATTTACTTATTTCAGCTAAATAAAAAAATCATTTAAAAAAGGATGATTGAATTTAGGAATTATATTCCTCAGAGAATTAGTAATGGTTCTCTGTATCCCTCAGGCCTTCATGTTCTTAACTTCTTTTTGTCAATGTTATTATGAATAGACTAATTCAATAATGAGATCATTTCCCATAAGAGCAGCCAAATAAATGCAGCATTTGGTCACACCTGGTTTCCTTAATCTGAGCAAGGAAGGCTTTTCACCAAATTTAGCTTAAACCAGAAAATTTCATAAAAACTCCATACACACACATTTTCCTACCAGTAGAAGAAAAAAAAAAATCAGGGAAGCAGAAAAGCAGAACAAGTTAGCAACACAATAAAAAGAAGAGTAGACTAGGGAGGAAAAAGGCTTGTAATGAACATACATGGTTTCTTTGCAAAACAATAGTTCTCACATGTACATCTTCATCATTGTCAAAGTAACAATATTTTATCATCCCGTTGAATACTTTAGGAATTGTTTCAATTTTCCCAAACACTTCAAGAATTACAAAAATCACATGAAAACTGAGTAATAAATACGCAGAAGCATTCTGGACTATCAGTGACAAATGACTTCCTAGCCACAAAAGCTTCTGGAAAATGAAAAGTTTTATGGAATAATCCACATGTATAAATAGCAAGAGAACATGAGGAACACCATAATTATCACCCACCCTCTTCAAAGCTGTTTAAACTTTCATTAAAACATGACAGGCTTGATTATTTTAAATATAAACAGTGTTAAAAGAACAAATGAAGAGAAAATTAAATCTCAAATTTGAAAATGTGTTTTATAAGAGCAACATTAAAAATTGAGATCAGCAAACCTAGAGAAGGAAAGTGAAGGTGATGAACGAGTACTTTTCTCCTTGTGGAAACAACAAGAGATGGGTTTCAGTGAAAACAAGACTGAAGCGGTGACAAAATTAGTTCAATACTTGTTATTTACCATGAAGAAAAAAAAAGGGAAAATACTACAAATGGTAAAAAATAAATGGTAACTCCTTTATATCATGGAATATTTGGGAATTAAAGGAATGTTTTCAAGCAGTATTAATGAACATTATAGATATTAGATAATGCAACTATAATTATACTAACACAGTTCCAGTTCTGTTAAGAGAAATATGCAGGGATATATGTAAAAGATACATACATACAGATGGGAAACTAAAGCCAGGATAAAGTATAGCATAAATCATTCTCTCTAAATCAAAAACTTATGAGCAATGTTTAGATTTATTTTTGTATATTATTTTAGTATTTTATGTAATAAGATGATGTTACTTTATATTTGAAAAAAAATTTCCAAGAAATGAAAGTACTAACTTGGATTACACAGTGGGAATAACTACTTCCTTAAGGGATGTTGAACATTCAACACAATTTGCTAGAATTAACTTTTCTATCAGCTAAGTACATCTATCTCTTTCTTAAAATTCTTTTTATAAAATAAACTCTTTAAGTACCAAGAATCTGTTTTTAAAAAGTGGCTTTATAGGTAGTGAGTCCTGGCTCTGGGACAAGAAAGTGAGCTCACCCTTCCCTCTTACCGTGCGAAGTCCAGGTCTGCCTCCCGCGACATGGTGATGTTGGTTAAATTCTGCTGAAGAACAAAAATGTTCCTACACATTTTCTTGATGCCAGATTCACTGATGCGCCTGAAGTACTGAGCACCATTAATGAGGATACAGGAGATGAGGTGTCCCAGGCCTGAAGATCAGCACAGTGTCATGGCAAGGAAAGAGGGAGTAGATTAGTGACACTGAACAGAAATTTGCACACAGGATTGGCCTTTGTTCATCCTCCACAAATTTAAAACCACACAAAACATATCTAATGGATTCACTAGTTCCTCGTACAATAATTTCATAGTATTTCTACATAGTCCTAGTGATTAGAAATGAGAAGACTGTATTTTAAACAAATCTACCACATTCCTAGTACTAACATTGCCACATTCACCTGAAACTACAATACCAAGGACTTGCAGAATATGCCTTATTGTTATAAACTATTAACATCAACAGCAATGCCTGGCTTTATGTTCAGGTATTTGGGAAACAATAAAAATGCATGTGCATACATCTGTTTGGCCTGTTTTTGCATGGCATATGTACAAACATCTATGTGGCCTCTCCTTCCCACAAAACAGAAATGAGACTTTGGGCTGAAAAGCTGATTATGATCCTAAAATAATAAAAAATAATACAAATGGAAACAATGGCAGTAATGCTAATGAACTACAACACTTATGAGTAAAAATCAACCAATTAAAAAATGTTACTGGTAGTAATGCTAATACACCTCAGCATTGACAATGATAATAAAAGACCGTGTAAATAAATGCAAAGTGCCAAGGAAAAGCATATCATGGAGTCACTGAGTTCCCAAGAGACATCTCTGGACATGCTGTGGTTCTATAAATGGTTTGTTTTCCTGTCTGAAGGACTGCTATATAGTCTATTAAAATTGGCAGAGGTAAGCACAAGACATCAATAAACTAACAGATTTTCTTCAGGATGTCCTTTATAACTCAAAGGACATACAGTGGTTCAGGTTAAAGTGAAATACATATGGGTTATTATTTTTTAAAGTTAAATTTATTTATTTATTTGTTTGCTTTTGGTAACAGGAATTGAACTCAGGACCTTGTGCTTGCCAGTCAGGCACTTATACCATTGAGTTATCTCCTTGGCCAGAAGTTAGAAATAAATATATGTTCCTTTATTTTTTTCTTATTCTTCCAAAGTTGGCCTCCAGCAGGACATTTTATTCAGAACTCTAAAGCTAGTGTGATAGGTTACAGGCAATCTACTACTTTTTGCTATTTTGTTCTCTGGAATCCCAGTCTTCATGGATACTAAGGTTCAGATTACAGGGCACAGCATATCTTCAGCTTCAGTGGCTTCCTGAGAAACCAAGTGTGTTTCTCCTGGGCTGAGATGAAAGTAGGAAAAGGAGAGAACATGCATTTTCTCTTGCTTCAGCTACACTCACACAGCATTACTTCAATACCACAAACTTGTTTGTGCTACCATTTAAAGAAAAAAAAAAAAGAGGCTTTTACTCCTCTCAAAAAGAAAAATAAAAAGCACAGCTGAAAATTTTACACATAAAGCTAGATTACTTGTATTTATAATAAAAATCTTTCAAATATATCTTTCTATGTCAAGTTCTGTTATTCACCTATGCCTATATTACAACTTCAGGTATATTTTTCTTCTGCATTGATATAATGTGGCCTGCTCAAAGTGTAGGCAACGAGGGGACTGCATGGTTTGTAGAGGATAAGAAATCATAACTTGGGCTGGAGAGATGGCTCAGTGGTCTAAGGCACCTACTTAGAACAAGCTTAGCAAGGCATCAGGGACCGTGGTTCAATCCCCCAGCACCACATGCTGGCCAGCCCCGCCCCCTGGTGGGCTGAGCTGGCCGCGCACACACACCACTCTCTCTCTCTCTCTCTCAAATAAATAAAAAAAATAAGAAATCATAACTTATAAAAAAATTTTATCATATGAATAATATGGATGTTGATATGTAGGGCTTGGAAAAGCTAAGGTTCAAAAGGAATTTCAGTGTATTAGGGAAAAGGATTTAGAGAAAAGTAGCTTTAAATGTGAACAGTTTTTGCTTCAAGCTGCAGAGAATTAAAGGTGCCACCAAATTCATAATGTTATAGGCTAACACTAGCCCTTCAGTCACTCAACTTTTAGGGTAAAATCGTCTTCAGAAGACATCTCCATTTTTATGACTTCATCTTTACAACTGAATGGGAAGATAGGATTTTAGAGGGTCCAAAGTTACTAAAACACAATTTTTTTTTTTCACAAAGCAAGCATTGGTCATGCACTGACATTACCCCATCTTCCATTTGCCATGAGCTTTGAACAGTGGACCTTCTTAATTGTCTTAAGTAATTCTGGTTTAATTCTGTGTGAGTACAGATACTTTTGGTACCCAGGTCTATGCTTAACCAAACTAAAATTAATACAAAGGAAATATTATTTGAAATCTTAACATGTTTTCTGCAGTTCAAAAAACTGATTCCCACAGACTTGTGGGGTGAGGCTTTGGTTTTCAAGTTGGCACTGCTGGAAGGTGCTGGAAACTTAGGTGGTGGGCTATAGTGGGAAGCCATTTAGGGGAAATATGGGATCTTAGCCTCTTCCTCTTTCCTTTTGCTTCCTGGCTATGAGGTGAGCAGCTGGCTCTGCCATAACCTTCCCCACCCAATCAGAAGCCTAAAAGCAATGGGTTAGAATCCCTAAAACTGTGAGCCAAAATAAACCTTTTCTTTTTGTAAGTTAATTATCTCAGGCATTTTGTTATAATGACAGGATCTGATGAATGGAATTCAGCATGAAAAATTATGTGCCCAGCACATCTTATTGGCAGAACTGGGGATTGAACTCAGGTCCTTGCACTTGCCAGGCAAGCACTTCTACTGAGCTATCTCCCCAGTCCATGCCCAGCACATTTTAAAACACTTCGGAGGCAAATGTCTTTAGATAGCACTGCCTCTTCACACATTCCTTGCCTGCCTGCCCTGAAGCATCAAAGGACTTAGTCTTCTTAAAATCTGTTGTTAATCATAGGCTTCTGTGCTTTTGAGACAGACTGCATTCTATCAGATAACACTTCCCCTTCCATTGATAATTTTAGCTAATGAAAAATTTTTCAGAGCTCTCGTATATGTGTTTTATTTCTTTTTAATGAGCAACTCTTGAGTCAATTTGTGATCCATTTTGCATATTTATTGAAATCTTATGAATGGCTTGTCAAGGTAGGCAGACAGGCAGCCATCTGTATTATCTTGGATTAAATCTCCTAATCAACCAGCAGCAGATGGCAGCTATATTATCTATCTAGCCATACACAGAGGCGAGGTATTGCAGTTCTCGTCCAAACAAAGTAGCAAACAACCCTTTCCTACAAGTTTCCCACAGTATTTCGGAAAAATTAGGAAAACTTTCATTCTTCTTTCCTCCCAAACTCCCAGAGATAGAGACAGGTCTGACCTTCGAAGATATACTGGAACTTGTGCTGCTGAAGGCTGGCACTCATAGCCTCTTCAATGGCACTGATATCTTTGTTGAGCTTGACCACTAGAGGGTCATAATCCATGCTTTCCACATTGGCAACAATGGCATAGTTCCCCTCCTTTGCTAGAGGGATGAGATAGTGAAAACAGTGAACTCTGAAAAAGACATAGGGACAGCAGTTAATAATAAATCTCGCCTGCTAAGATAATGATCTTCTGTGACAGAGCACCAAAATATTTGAAGCATCAGTGGCTTCATAAATTTTTATGTACCCTTCCAACCTTCTGCAACTGGGAAGTCATTTCAGTTTTCCTGAAGAACTGAGTGATCTAGAGCAAGTGTGTTAGGTGCTCTTTGTTTATCCATACAGTGCGCACAAGGAATGGATGGGCTCTAAAGGTCTTTCTAATGCCAGAAGTATATGCACATTGCAAACCGCATTGTAGTTTTTAATAAATGTTGACAATGAAAGGCAGAGTTTGAAGACCCACAAAATGCAGGCTTTTGTGGGAGGCTATTGGATTCAATTCCCAGTTCTAACATTTGCTAGCTGTATGACTTTAGGCAAGGTACTTTATCTTTCTGTGCTTCAGTTGGCTTATTTGTGAAATAGGGACAGTGATATCTCCTTCCTCATGGAGTGCTGTGAGGAACTATTACATATAAAGTGGACAGCACAGTGACTGGGCTGAAAAGAATGCACAGTAAGGTGTTGGCTGTCATCATTAGAATTACTTGTACTTCTGCCAAATTAGTATTTAAATCATTTACTGACCATCTATGAATTTGTTAGAAAGTGCCATGGAAATTGGTCCTGGGGTATTAGAAAAGGTTCATTTCAAGAAGAAATACTAAGTCTCAGAATATGTTTGATTGTGCATGAAGAAGGAGGGTGTCTCTGTGTTGAAAAGGTCTGATTCACGAATATTTCTGAAGTTCATTTGGTTGAACTTGGTAACTGTCAAAAACGTTGACCTTCACAGCCCTCTTAAATTATAATAAAAGCCAAATTGCCAAAAAAATTCTACCACAAATATATCTACTCCAAAAAAAGAAAAAAAAAATCCAAACCAATACCATGCATTGGCTTAGTCTCTTTCTATAAGCTCAGAGAAGTCTTAATTCTCTGTTTTAGGCACTCTGTCTTGAATGGAGGATTTGGGCCAGGAATATAGCTCAGTGGTGGAGTGCCTGCCTGGCAAGTGCAAAGTCCTGAGTTTTATTCCTGGTATCAAAAGAAAAAAGAAAAAGAAAAAGAAAAAAAAATTGAATGGAGGGTTCACTTGAGGTAGACATGACTTTAATTCAGTCAGGGTTTTATGATCCAGAGAACTGACATCAGAAAATAAATATTCCTAGATAGATGACTGCAAGGACCTTGGAAATTAAAATATCTATAAAGACACAATACCAGGTTTGCCTATAATGTTTCTTAAAGTTGGGTTCACTGAGAAATAATTTACAGTAAAGTTCCACCTCCATTATCATATGCAATTGTTAGTTTTAACAAATGTACATAGTTATAAAACCATCATCACAGTTGTTATAGAAAATGGCCTCCATCTGAAATTCCCTTATGTCCACATGCATTAATACCTACTTCACGCCTTTGGAAAGAATTTGCCTATATCTATCCTCTATAGTTTTTGTCTTTTTCAGGAAGTCATATAAATAGAATCATACATATGTAGCTTTTTGAGTTTGGCTTTTTTCACTTTCCCTAAAACATATCAGATTCTTCTATGTTACTGTTCATTCCTTTTTCTTACTGAATAGCTTTCCTATGAATGGTAGAAGGTTTATACATTTATCTAATCAGTTAATGTTGAGATTATCTCTATTCTGGAACAGTTTTAAACAGAGCTACTCATGTATACATTTTTGTGTAAAAATAAATTTTCATTTCTTTTGAGTAAATATTTATATGTAGGATTGTCATATCATATAGTAAATGCACATTTAATTTCACAAGAGAAACTGCTATTGGGAAACTGCTATTCAAGGGACTTGTGCCATATTGATTTCTTACCAGTAATGTCAAAGATCCAGTTGCTCTGTATTTTCTCTCTCTGCATTTTAGGGAAGGGTCTACAGGGTCTCACCTCACTACTAGATTGGACCCATAGTGATTCTCCTGTTTACAGCCTCCCAAGTGTTGGGATTACAGGCATGTGCCACCATGCTCAGTCTCAATTGCTGTCTCAGTGTGCCCCGGGGGCAGGGCCAGCACTGCAGGCCCTAGGATTGAACCCCTGGCACCTGTGCCTGCTTGTAGGTGCTTTAATCTGCTGAGCTATTTGGCCAGTCCCGGGATCAAACCCCCAGTCCTTCTGCCTGCTTTCAGGTGCTTTAATCTGCTAAACTATTTGGCCGGCCCTGGATAAAGGTTCTTATCAAATATTTGGCAAACATTTTTACTCTGTCCTTGGCCTGTCTTTTCATCTTTCAAAGAACAATTTTAATTTTAGTGAAATTCAACATTATTTTTTCTTTAATGGATGGTATTATATTTATGAAATATTTTTCAAAAAAAAAAAGTCGTATGTTTTTTTCTCAAACATTTTCTTCTGGAGACTTTAGAAGTTTCATTCTAGTCTTTTTTGGGTGGTGGTGGTGGTGGTGCTGGGGATCAAACACAGGGCTTTTGTAGGGCCAGGGAGATAACTCAGTAGAATAAGTGTTTGCCTGGTAAGCACAAGGTCCTGAGTTCAATCCCTGGTACTGAAAAAAAAAAAAAAATAGAAAGAAAGAAAAAGAAAAGAAATGGCAGAGCCAGGGCTTTGCACACACTGAGAACAGGCTCATCACTGAGCTATACCTTCCAGCTTCTATGCTCCACCTTTAAATAAGACTTTGTAAGATGTGTGATACTCTTTATCTTGGTTACTTATCTCTTGTTGCTGAAACAAAATATTTGATCCCCAAAATTAAGGAAGGAAAGCATTATTAAGCTCAGTGTGGAGGTTTCAATTCATAATCAGCTGGCTCCAAGGTAGGATGGCATGGCAGAAGAATAACAAACCATGGTGGCAGAAGACAGCAAAAGAAACAAAAGCAAAAAGGGAGGAGGAAGACTCTGCGCCTTACATTGTATGTAGGCTCCCCACCCTGGGGTGGGTGTAGCACTCACACCTACAGTTCCAGCACTAGACAAGGAATCATTCACAAACTATATTTAGCCACCTCTGAATATCACCCCTCCCTGCCATGTGACTACAAGAGGCTTTCGGGGGACATCCAGACACAAAACATAACATTCTTATAACCTGTTTATGTAAGGGAATCTAAATATCTCAGCTACTATTCCTTTTCACTGACTGGTGCTCATCTTAACAATCATTAATTAACCATTGACTAATTTCACCAATTAAAACTTCAGGAACTGGTATAATGAAGTAGCTTTTAGCTCCCTCTTGAATGTGCTCTGATATAATGAAAGTTGACCAGTCCTGGGTTGGGATTTCTAGCAGGTAACTGATTGCTATTGTGACACAAATTTAAATAAAATAGAATTGAATAGCTAGCAAATCATGTATGCTAAAGCATAATAAAAATAAATAACAGGCATTATAATCCCAGACAATGGAAGGCCATATAAACAGGCATGAGACAATAATGGAGGATGGTTCTCAGGAATGGCCAGTGGTTCTTTTCTGCTACATACAGACAATATGGCAGAGGCATAAGGTGATCTTGGGGAGCTGGCTTGAGGTCAGGTCATCACAGGCTCTAGAATTCATCTAAGATGTTAGGATCCACAGGGAGCCTTATGGGCTTTGCAAGTTTGTCTGGTACAGTGTAAGAATCGACTGATAAACCAGGCATGGTTCATGCCTATAAGTTCAGGTCCCCAAGAGGCAGAGGCAGAGGCAGAGGCAGAGACAGAAGCAGAAGGATCACAGGTTTGAGGCCAGCATAGGCAACTTAGATCTTGTCAGGAAAAAAAAATTCCAGGGGTTAAATCAAATGAAGGTAGAGAGACTAGCTACAAAATTCTTATAAATTGGCAGTGAGAGTTTATGAGATCCTAAAATAGTGGTAGAGAGAAGAGACTGCCACTGCTTAAGATACTATCTTCTTAATCCCAAATGATTAGTGATAAAAAAGAAATTAAAACATTATCAGTGATGTCAATTTCAAGCAAAGTTTTTTCCTCTTTAAATTGTGGCATGTTATTGCTGACCTTAACATGACTTTGGCATTAAGGTTTCTTGAAAACACTGCTGATTACACAGCAGGATGGTTGATTTTCAGAAAGTACACACTTAGAATCCCGACAGTGACAGGCAGTTCCTGTTGAACCCACTTAGCGCCCTCCTGATGGTAAAGGAAATCAGGTGATAAAGGTGATATTCTTGGTTGGTGTCTTGGACTCAAATGGCAATTTAATTTTCTTCTTCTAATGTTCAAATGGTAGAGAAAAAAATCTCAACAATTTTTAATGGTGTCACTGTGTCTTTCATCTTGGGAGTGTCATCTATCTTATGCCTTGAACTGTAGAAGGTTTGAATGGTAGCTAAATTTGACACAGGTAAAAATGTCAAATGCTCTTTGGATGGGTTCTCCAACACTGAACCTGCTGGACTGGAGAACATTTTTGGTTTAAATGTTTGCAACATTAAAGAAAAGCATGTGCTATAGTCATAAAGTATTTTCAAGAATAAGATAAATTCATATTTCAAATTATTGTGGACTTCTAGGTGGCATATCTTCTTTTATATGGATTTGTTCTTCTACACTACCTGTGTTCTTTCAATATAGTGGCTTTTTGACTAAAAGTGACAGACAAAGAACCTAACTAGCTACCTCTTCATCACACCAGTTCCTGGATTATATAGTCTCAGTTTTTATCCTATTTCAAAGCAGGAAAGAACAAAACAAATGCTTCATTATCACAACAAGGACAATATGGGCCACACAGTCTCTGTACTTCTTAGTTATGCTATGAGTAGTGGATTATGTGAGAAAACGGACTCTATAACCCAATTTATTTACTTTAAAGATCAACCAATTTTGTTTGGGGAAACAACACTTATTTTGTCTGCATTTGGTTTCAGATCAGCTAATATTTAAGAATCAAGTATGCTTTAACTGAGCACATAATATGCAGCAGAGCTGGTCCAGGTTCTGGGGACATCTGTGACAAAGAACAAGGCACAGCTGGAGGAGCTGACGATCTCCTCCTCAGCCTGGCACTCTGCTTCACCAGAGCACTTAGCATGTGCCTCTGTTCTCTGTCTTGTTTGTTTAATATTATCACTATACAATGCCTCCCCTATTGCTAATGTGCTAAAGCAGAATAAAGTATGTAAGCATTTATCATCTGAACCATAAACAAAGCAAAGACAAAATTGGGCATTTTCGTAAGAACATAATCTGAATGCTGAACCATGTTATAAGAGATGGAAATGTGAAAATTTAGAAGAAAGCAAACACATTTTGTGTTTTCAAGGTCAAGGAGAAATAATTCTGCATGTAGGAGTCTAAAATTCAGTCTGTTTTTCATTGTTCAGTCTGAAATTACTTTTGTTTTGTCTTTAGCCTAGTGTTGAAGGAGATACAGCAATGGGTCTTACAACACTGTACTATTTTTTATAGTTTTTTTTTAGGGAAGGTTTTACAGGGTGTTCAGGGTCTCACTACTAGATCAGACTCGCAGTGATCCGCCTGTTTACAGCCTCCCAAGAGTTGGGATTACAGGTGTGTGCTACCACACCCAGACTTAATTGCTGTCTCAGTGCACCCCGGGGGGGGGGCAGGGCTGGCATGGCAGGCCTGGGGATCAAACCCCTGGCCCCTGCACCTGCTTGCAGGTGCATTAATCCGCTGAGCTATTTGGCTGGCCAGCATTATTTTTTTATAAAGTTAATACATAATGGCTAAATATGTTCAGCATTGTAAGAATAGTATTGACAAGATGCACAAAAATAAAAAAGACAGAATAGAGGTTAAGGATTTAAAAGATTGTACTCAGACATGTTGAAAATATTGCACTTCGAATTAACTATAATATAAGTAGGCAATTCTGACTGTCAGACACTTCCTGCCACCATGTAATCAACAGCATAAATTCTAGGCATTGTGAGGGTAACTAATTCGGCGATTCCTTGTTTTTCTTTACAACCCAAGTAACAGGCATCAGAATATTACTTGGTGTTTTTTCCCCACCTCTTTCTGTTACATTTATCTATTCATAGAAAATACTCTATTTCACTATCAGTTTGAAAATAAATAGAAAACAAATCTAATATGTAGCATAAAACAAATAAGAAAATATAGCAAGAACTTTGATTTCAGGAGAGGTTAATGTAAGAAAATCAGAAATATTGTGGAGTAAAATAGATTCTAAGTCTTCAATGCAATGTATAAGCAATGAAGAAATAACTCATTGGGCAAGATAAGGAATGAAAAAGAGCTGTGGCACACAAAAGAAGTGACATCAATACTCCTGAAAGGCCTCTGACTGCTAACAGGACTCTAAACATATTCAAAGACTTCAATGTAGGCCAAAGACCTATTTACATTTTAAAAACAATCTGTAAAGGCTTCAAGTGAAAATATTTGCTACAACTTTAATAATGTTCTAAAGTAATACAGAAAAAAAATCTACTACCACTTTCTGATCCTGAAATTCTAAACTATATACCTGTCTACATTGCTGTGTAGATGTTTAATAAGCATCTCAATGTGAACATCTTGAAAACAGAATGTTTTGAATTCCACTCCTCCTGTCACTTCTCTTCAGTTTTTCCGACTCCAGTTAATGACTCTGGCACCTACACAGTTGTTCAATAGATATGGCTTGAATTTGCAGATCGATCCCACTATGTCATAGTATTACTTCAGTTATATTTATCTGAAATTATCTCTTTTTCTACTCATTGCTCCCAACACTAGAATGTTGCTCCATGGGAGCAGTGCCTTGAATGTTTTGTTCACTGCTATACTTCAAACTGTAGGACCCTCCTTGGTGCAGACAAGGCACTCATTATATATGTGTTGAATAAATGAATGAACAACTGGAGGCTTCTAGTTCTTCTTCCTCCCTTTCTATCTCTTCAATAATAGAAACCACTGAAGCTAATTAGAATATTCTACAATGTAGCAGAAGGAACACAGGCTAAGATTGTGGCATCTTCAGAACTATGCTTTTGGTTTTGTTTTCGCTATTATGCTTTCAAGTTTATTCCCTAGCTGAATCTGTGTTCTTGAAGTATTATTTAATCACTTCATCTGAGTTTTAAATTCCTTGAAGGAGAGGACTATGGTTCTAGTATCTATACATTCTTTTCTTAAATTTACTTTAGTAAAAACAACAGTGACAACGAAGTGTTTATAACTGCAAAGCTACCATATTTTGAGCACTTACTATGTGGCACATATTGTGCTAATTATTTATTTCATTTATAAAATTTCTCTAAGTTATGAATTCCCATTTGAAACATTTTTACTTTTATTAGTACATGTTTGCAGGACACAATTACATTCATGATAGGGAGTTGGTACATGTATATATCAATCATTACCATTTTTATGAAAATGAAATTAAGGGTTCATAATGCTACTTGGATGACCTCAGGCCATGTAGTCAGTCAATATGGATACTCAAATCCAGGTTATACTGGCTTCAAAGACCATGTCAACTCTGAATTATCACACAAAAAAGCAAGAGCTCAAATACTTAAAGAGTGCCTAAAAAACTGCTAAACATCACGTTTTGTGTTGGGCTGAGTCATACCTCACTTCCAGATGCAAGACCAGCAAGCAGCGGTCGGCCATATCCTGGAAGGACTTGGCAAGTTCACTGAGAGTCTGCATGATCTGCTCGGAGACAGGAGGCAGGTCCATGTTCACATGGCTTTCTTGAGCAGGAGAAAGCACTAGAAAAAGGGGTGAATACAAAACATCAATCATTTTACTAGATGCCTACTGATTTTTTGGGAATATATATTATTTTGTGGTATACATGGCTGTTTTTACCAAGTTTGCTAATGCTAGGGTTGGCAGTATTAGAAGTCCAAGACATGCTTGATACAATCTGTATTTGAATAAAAAAATATAGGAGCTCAGATAATTGTCTTGAATTATTTCATAGAATAATAGCAACATGACCTCAGAGTTGGAAGTGGCTTGTACTTGACCATATGTTCTATGTTTGGGTGAAGGTTTTTTTTTTTTTTTTTTTTTTAATACCTTCATTTTTTTTTTTTTTTTGCAGAATCGGGGATTGAACTCAGGCCCTTGAGCTTGCCAGGCAAGTGCTTATTCTACTGAGCCATCTCCCCAGCCCGAAGGTTTTTTTTTTTTTTTTTTTTAATACCTTCAAGTGTCTGTTTAGCTTCGGTTTGCTCACACAAATGTCTATGAAAGAAAATTAGTACCTTTTGAGACAGCCTTTTATACCTCTGAAATACCTGATTCTTCATAAGAAAGCAAGAATCTGTCTTCATTCACTTCTCATAATTGGCTTTGATTCTACCTAACTTTGGTCATTCTGTGTATCAGTACTTCATGTATTGAAGATACCTCTACTGGTCTCCTTGAAGTCTTCCCTGTGTATGGTAAATATTCTCAGTTCTTCAATTACTCTTCAAATAACTGGATTAGATAATTTTATAATTCTTCAAATGTATTTAACTAAACATTCTAATTATTCTATAACTCCCTTGGAATGCTTACAGAGGTGTTTGACAGGCCTAAAGACAACTTTTTCTAGATGTCTTACTATTTGCATTAAGGCATATCTCGGGATAGAAATGGTAGTATGCTATATTTAACTTTAACTCATATATATCTTACAGCCAACTAAATGTCCTAAGAAATTCTTTTTGGAAAATTGGATAGTTAACTTCTATATCTGTCTAAAATAATTTATGAAAATATTTTTATTAACATTTGAACATTTTCTTCCACAAAATACTGAACAGAAGAAAAAGGGAGTCTATTTGTTTGTCTAGAATTTTTTTTTAAATCTTTTTTTTGGAACTGGGGATTGAACTCAGGCCCTTGCGCTTGCCAGGGAAGTGCTTATTCCACTGAGCCATCTCCCCAGCCCAGTCTAGAATTTTTTTGATTTTTCAGCTCCTCAGAATTTCTCAACAATAAATTGGCAGTATCATTAAAATTTTTTAAAAGACATATTACACTGATACATGCATTCCCATGTTATAGCAGCATAATTCGTAATCTCTAAATCATGAAAGTGGTTTATATGTTCATCAACAAGTAAATGGATATAGAAACTGTGGTATTTACACACAGTGGAATACTTCTCTTTATGAAGAAGGATAAACGATTTGTTTGTAGGAAAATGTATATACTTTGAATCCATAATGTTGGGTGAAATCAGACATATAGTTTAAAATTATTACTTCTCTTACATGAGAAATCCAAAGTATAAATAAATCATAAGTAAAACAAAAGATGTACAACAGGAAACAGGAAGACAGGTCTTTGACAAATGGGAAGGGGACTAAGGGATGGAGGGAGTGGGGAGTGGAAGGGGACACAAAAAGAAATAAGATGTCTCTAGTACATGTACCAACTCCCCACAGCGAAGGTATTCATAATGCACTGCAAACATATACTAACAAACTTTTTTTAAAAGTTAAAAAAAATTATCTTAGTACTTCACATGCTAAGTACATGAGTTCTGTTTGTTTCTATCATTTATATTATGTGACCAAGAACTAATTACTTAAATTCTCTGTGCCTTAGTTCCTTTCATAAAATAATAGTACTTCTATCATGAGTGTGAATAGATTAATACCAGTGAAAGAGAACAACAGCACATAAAGTTTAAATTGAGTCTTAAGATTTATCTTGGTTACTCTTTTCTTGTTGCTGGGACAAATACCCAACACTCAAAATAAAGGAAGGAAAGGATTATTTAGCCCACAGTTCCTGAATGTTTCCGTCCATACTCAGCTGGCTCCAAGGCAGTGTGGCACATGGCAGAGAGCAGCCTCTCATGGAGGTGGCAAAGAGCAGAGAGCAAGGGGAGGAGTAACAGCAATAATGGCTACAGAGAGCCAGTCTGTCTCTCTGTCTCTCTTATGTTACATTCAGGTATTCACCCCAGGCTGGGGGTAGCACTCACATCCATAATCCCAGCAGTACTCACACTCATAATCCCAGCCTTGGATCATGAACTAATCACAAACTGCATCTCAATGACTGCATGAGGCTTTGGGGGGACAAATATACACAAACCATAACAAGATTAATTATAAAATATTTCAGTCTGGAAGTTCAATTTCCATTTGTCAGTATTGTACTCTCTCTCTCTCTCTCTCTCTCTCTCTCTCTCTCTCTCTCTCTCTGTCTCTCTCCCTCTCTTCCCCTGTCCCTCCCTCATTCTCTTCTTGTCGCCCTCTGAATACAGAATTGTTTGGAAGAAGGGCAGCAGAAGGGCTACTTTGACGTAGGACACATGGAATTTGATGAGGAGTCACTGATTAACTTGGAAAGTGGGCTTACTTTACAGGGTGGAGAGTCAACATCTGGTTGTAGCAGTACCTACACTCATGGTCTTTCAGTGCTCTATTTATTCCTAGACTTTTTCAAGGCCAGGAAAGGTCCCAGACACATAATCCTGATGTATAATTCATAAGGCTAAATTATCTTCTGTAGAGCCAGACCCTAATCAATTAAAATAATTATAATAAACACAAAATAGCCAATGTTGTTCAAAGAAGCTGATGTGTGAGCAGAGAGGGACTACAGCAATGTAGATTTTACATTATTATTAGCTTTGGTATCATCTTACGTGTTTACTAGCTCAATCTGCTAGCGGCAGATACAACACTGCATCCTCTCTGTGATGGCAACATTATTCATGTTATTTGATTACAAGGCAAGATCCCTGCCATCATAATGTATCATGTGGCAGGCTAGGTGAAAGCAATTATGAATAACATTGTTAAAATACTTGAAAGCATTTTAGGGCTTCTTAGTTTCTACATTCCTCTGTCTTTTGACATTATGGCAAGAAGAGTTACCTATGTATGTATAAATAGGAAGAGGCAGAAATCAGGACCAGAAATCTCAATCATGGTCTAAGGTCCAAAGTAATATTAATTGACCAAATTTTGTCTGGAGGATTCTGGGCAAAATATAACCAGAAACTAAAGTTACACTTTCTAATTGCAGGATAACATAATTTCATCATGTGGTAATTGGCACTGTCAAACTATGGGAAAAAAATCTTTGTAGTGTAAGTTAATGTCAAGCTGAGCTATAAAGTAAGAGCAATTTTGAGCAGTGACACACTGTATATTGCATTTGAATATAATCTATAGCAAAAATGTAAAATTTTATTAAGGCAATGGAAAAATTATGCCCCAAAGCTCTACTGAAAAGCTGGTTTGTAAATTCCTGAGGGCTGAGTGAAATTTATGAAGTTTTCTTAGTAAGAAAAAAATAGTAAAGAAATGCTGAGTACGGCAAACAAAGACGACACAAAACAATCAACTAACTTTTAAGTATCAGATGGAAATCCACAAAAAGGCAGTGTTGACAGATCTGTTTGGAGATTACAGCCAAGAAATTAAGTTAATGGACAGCCCTCCCACCATGATTGCAATACTGTTTTAGAGGCTAACCGATTTTATATGTATCTCAGGGATTGCTCCTCACATCAGAATGGTCACGTGTTGAGTTCTAAAAGACACTAGTTCTACATGAGGAAACTGAAACTTGTTCTCTCAAGCAGATAATACTTTTTAGTTTTGCAAAAACATAGTTATTCTAATTCATTTCTCTATTCTAGATTCTGCAAAGTGTATTGTTTAAATTTTCAGTCTTGTTTGTAGCTAGAGTGGCCATGTGACAGTCTGGTCAGTGACCTCCTAAGTAGTCTTCTGTGACCATTGGGAAATTTTTCCTTTTCCTGATAGAAGAGAGCTGAGGTTGGTGCCCGATCTCTTAACCTTTGCCCTTCCCCTACCTCCCTTTTTCCTAAAGATCAGGAATCAGAGAGGTATTAGTTTGATTGCTGGATGACTGAGCAACATCAGCAACTGTTTGCTTTCAGCCTCCTTATTCTAATAAGAAAAATACTTCTTTAAAACCACTATAGATTAAATAATAATAATAATAACAATAATAATAAAATTTTTCTGCCAAATAAAATGCTGTCAGCCTCTGCAAATGTAAATTCTAGTGTCATATTTGAAGATTAAAATGTTTCTTTTTTCTTTTTTTTGCGGAACCGGGGATTGAACTCAGGCCTTTGTGCTTGCCAGGGAAGCGCTTATTCCACTGAGCCATCTCCCCGGCCCCAATAAGGAATTTTTTTTTTTTTTTTTTT